TAGGACACAGACATGAAACTTCTTGAGAGAAAGGAGGAAGGGAAAATTGACTTATGAAAGGTTTGTAAAAGTTAAACTAGGGATTAAGTCGTGGGATGTCGATCCCAGAGTTCAGAGTCATAATCTAAGGGTTTGACCCTTAGATATTAATAAGTGAGAAACAATTGGGGATGTTGAATCTTTGTTGACTTGTGTGTGTGCATGTCCCTATTTTACATATTGCAATTGAGGGAGAGGGTATCGGAAAAAGACCAAAATTTTTGTTAAATCTCGATAACAGGTTAGTTGGTACCGATTCAACTTTTCCCCCTAGACTTGATACCCACATCTAAAATCAAACCATGTGGTCAGTAAAAGTGTCACCTGTGGTCATTGCCTGAATGATCCTAGTCACTCTCAGTGGTCCTTTGAAGTAATTTGAGGGGGTTGGGCTTACGTCTAAGGAAAGATAGAGCTGTCAAACATGGTTTGGGAAGTGAGGAACAAGGTCAATGGTGTTGATTGATGGTTAAGTTGTTAGTGCATAGCATCTGAACCATCTTTTGCATATCATGTGCACGTTTGTTTTGTGCGTGATTTTGACTTGAACTGGATTTGATGTCGTGAAGAGTTTTGAACACACCGCACTTGTGAAAATGGGAAGGGTTCTCGGCGGTACTACCCCCATGCGCATTATTCTCTTGTGTAACCTCTGTACTGTCTGATAATCAGTTGAATGTTGTCCGTTAAGGAAAGTAGAACGCCCTCGGTAGGAATATCAATTGATATTTTGTTTGTTTTTATCAGAAGAATAATACACTATAAGATACGGGCATATTTTGTCTCCGCGGATAACACTCTATTTCATTACCTAACTTAAAAATGAAAATAGACAACATTTTAAAATTCGACCTGAAAAATCTATAAGTATAGGATAGGGAGATCAACATCATGAACTTGACTTGACTAACGGGTCAGTCCTAAGCGTGTTACCACGTGTACCCCGTTCCAATGCTGCGACAATCGAACAAACGTACTCGGCCAACCTACCTGTACAAAGTCAAGTAAAAACCTTCGTATATGGGTCGGTAGCTTCACAGGGATACACCTACCTAAGAGTGGTGACAACCCCCTGGGTAGAGGTAAGTTGTACCTTACGGTACCCCGACCTGTCGTGGAGTGTCGTGAGAGGTATAGTCGGCGCGTACGGTCGGAGTGGTGTCTGGTTCTTTTCACTCAGAAGAAAAATTATGTGTGACATGACCATGATGTTTCCGTACTCGTAGCAGCGTACGAGACCGCCTCGCACGACACCGGTCTTAGAAATTTTTTATTTTGATTTCGAACAGCAAAGATCATGTAAATGATAATCATAGAATTTTAGTGTGTCATGTATGTGTAAATTCTGATAATTTACTAGTTTTAAGAACTGTGACACGATCATCAGGAAATGTAACTATTAGGCAAAATCAATGCAAGGGACCAATGTTGACTGACTCAAGACATAGGCAAGATAAATGAGGGAAAAGTGAGAACTCATAATAATCGCAGAGAGTATAGGTGAATAGGTATGACCAACACTCGTTAAGAGTCCTCACTCATCCCTCTAAGGTCTCATTCTCAATTTCTCATTTGTTTGAGCGTCCCCCGTGCTTCAAGCCAAGGGAGATTGTGACCTCGAGATGTAGAGTCACCAAAAGCTTGCAAGTTCCGAATACTTCCAACAAAGACCCATGATACGAAGTCAACCATGACACAAAACTCCTCTCATAAAGTAGGAAGGTACGTTTGAGAAAAAATCCCTCGTCTGAGATGTCGAAACTCTGAGGATTCAGTCACTACCTCATAATCAATCGTTGCAAGGGAGACATACCTCTTCGCCAGATCTACCAATTCACCAGCAAGAGTCATATGTACGAGGAAAAGGAACTGGTGACCTGGGGTAGTCTATGTAGGGCTTGGACCGAAAGTTACGGATCAACCTTGCACCACCATCACCAAGCTCAAACTCTCTCTCTTCCAGATACTTGGCTGCTAAGATCCAGACCGAAATGCTCACAAGTTTCATCGCCCTTCATCACTTAGAGCCTCATGTCATGAATAGCGTCTTCGACAAACTCAGTGAGGACAACGAAAATTGACAATTCATATCGATACCGAAAGACATCCTTGGACGGAATTCTGTTAAGATTTTCCAGGACAGATTGGCCAATGAGAAACAAGGTGATGCCGCTTATATATCAAGAACAACTCCGGAAAGAAGTCAACTTGATGGACGCTGGACTTGAAGATGATATGATAGGCACATGCTGATATTTCACTGGTCATACGTATTTGGGAATAACACCAAGCGTCCGGTACTGGTCTGAGGGCTAGCTACTAGGTATTATGTAGTAATTGATCCCGATTGTCGATCTCTAGTGTAAACACATGCGGTAGCCTTTACTGAGTCCTCCCAAGGTGAAGTTGCCTATCTGGGATAGAGTCGGTAATACAAAGGAACCGATTGATGCCAAACGAAGATCATGTCACGGAAGAACGCAGATTAATGTTTGTCAGATCTGATGGTGGATGAAAAAAAAAAAAATTCCTTACTTTTCAAAGAAATGGACATCCTGTCTTGCCCTACAGAGCATTAACCAGTTTTCTTGCCCTCTGCAAGGTTTCCAAAGATGAGACCATGTTATACAACACCCCGTCTAATTTTTGAATATAAAACACGTACTCTATGAACTTGTGCTGACACTTTGCTCTCTCAACTCCAATGTCTCTCATTGCGTTCTTGTGAGTTTCAACTTCATCAAATACTTTATCTACACGACACCCAAATTTGGCTCAACAAAGGGTACTGAACATCACGAGAGTATCTTGTCTGTGCATTTCCCCTTCTAGTTTTGTCAAGGGTAGCTTTAGAGTCCGTTAGCCAAAAGGAATAAGAAAGTCACAATTTGTTTAGGGATATCGCGAGTTAATGTGGGGGCGAGTTGTGAGATGCTGCCTGCAGTAGCCCTCTTTCGTGTACACTTGATGTAGCTAACGATCAGCTCAACTCACTTTTTAATATACGTAGATTACGCATAACTTTTGTTTTTAGCAATACTGTCAGTTGTCTTGATTCGCCTCTTCAAAACTGTTGTTTTGTCTCTATTAAGAGCTACTTCTTGTTTGTCTACTGCGAAGCTTCATGGAGAGTGTTACTAACAATCAAACACCACCTTAGTGACATGCAACATGGTGAAGTTTCCTACTTCATTAACACATGAAATAGGCTTCTGGTAGTTAAGCCTAGTTCGCCTTCCACACTACGTGTCACCGATAGTAATTAACGCTTAGACAACGTAAGACTTCGCCCATAGTTTAGTAACGAATAACAGAGTACTCCTATTTAAAACTCATGTGTTGACTAGCAGCTCTAGTTTTGGTGACAGCCTCAAAATCTTGTTCAGCTCCGAAAGGCAACTCTGAAAGCTGCCTTTAACAATTTGTCAACGGAAAGCCTTGGTCCCAGAGACTCTTCTTGAAACTTTGCCCTACTGATTGTAAATACTATTATGATAACTTGATAATTACAGTGGCATTACTCGGCTTTTGCTCAGGTAGCTGGGGTAACAGGTCAAGAGTGCTAGAGAAGTACATATCGATCAATTACCATCCAAAAGGAGCTTCGCCAAGAGGCATGACACTTTCCTCAAGATACGTCGTCTCCCGCCCATTAACAACATGCAGAAATACATTACCCACAACCCCCTCTACTTGTGAAGAAGCGGTGGCCAGCTTTACATTTATGACAAAACTCAATTAATAAGCGCTGAGATCTTAACACTTATCATCAAGCTAGCCGGGTTCCAAATGATTTGCCAGCCATCGCCTATATGTTATATGTCCCTCGCGGCGGAGTTCATGGTGACCATGACCTCGGCCCACGGTTGGGGCCGGGGGGCCGCGGTCATGACCGCCACAGTAGTGGTCGAAATTGGTCCGTTGCGGCCGAGGGGAGGGGGGTCCTGCCAATCGGGGTCAGGATTTCGGCGGCGGGACCCGGGCCCCAACCCCCCACAAAGAAAAAAATAAAAATAATAAAATAAAATAAAAAACGGGGGGGGGGGGGCCCAAAACGGCTTTTTTTTTTTTTTTTTTTTTTTTTTTTTTTTTTTTTTTTTTTTTTTTTTTTTTTTCAATTGATTGATTGGACAGGGTAGGATTTGCTCGTTGTTTTTTTTATTACGTTTTTCATATTGAGCGTGTTTGTCTGTTCGGATGGGCGCGGCATAGGCCTTAATAGGTTTGAGGGGTCCGACTGGACCGACTATCTCGGTTTTCGGGGTATGAGCTTGACTTAGGACCGTAGTGTTTTTTGCCATGATTTCCACGACCAGGCTTGTTGTGGCCTCGGGGGCAAGGGTGCCTGGTTTTGTGTTTTCAAGCTTTACTACTGCTTTAGGTATTAACTTGGGGTAACGGGTGGAAGGCGATTGGCATACGCTGGGGTTTTGGATGGTAGCATACTGGTGTGATGTTTGGTTTGCGATAAATAAGACGATAGATAGGATAGTCAACCTCTGTGACGGGACTGACGCAGCTTGAGCTGCGCGGCATCCGGAATGTCGTGTAGTCATAGCTACGGAAGCGGGAAGGTGGCGAACGGTATAGTTTCGGGTGTTGTTTGGATGGAAACCCCCTGAGGAGGCAGCTTGGCAGCTGCCGAAGCGTGCGTCAGGGATGTCGTTCTCTCACGACTTTTGCAATTTTTTCTATATTTCGAGTTGAGATGAGGGGACGCCGTTCTCTCACGACTGTTGCAATTTTTTCTATATTTCGAGTTGAGATGACTATCTTTGTTGCTGAATTGTCTCTTACGAGCTTTTCATTAACTACATGTGTTATTTCCATGTACCTAACCTATCATCATCTGCTATAGCGCACGCTACCTTTCTTGGGGAAAAATTACTGATACGAGTGAGCGTGTACTCCTTGTTCATTGGCACTTAACTATTGTTGCACGAAGTCGGTGCGGTTTACTGTTTGAACACGACTTTGGTGTACCGAGGTTTCCGGCGACGATGGGGGACCGGCGCAACTACGACCGAGGAAGGAGATCAAGTAGCGAGGACAGAGGGAGCCGGCATGGCTACGACCGGAGAGATGACGCAGGGGGCGATCGGTATATCCGACGTTCTCCGCCACGATGTTTTAGCTGCAATGAGCGGGGCCACTACGCTAACCAATGTCCAAACCGCTGGCGTGCTCCCGAAGTGAAGGCATCCACCTCTTACGACGTGAATCGGGGTCGATCCCCGAGGCGGGCTGAGGTGGTGGCTAAGGGAAAGGCTACTATGCAGGAACCGAAGGAACTGCGTCGCCAGATAGAGGAACTTAACAAGAGCCTAGCATCTGTATCTGAGTTCGTTATGGCTGAGAAGGCGAAGAAGGCCGAAGAAGAACGTTTACGTATTGAAGCCGAAGAAGAAGCAGAGAGACTGAAGGCGGAGCAGAAGGCCCGCGAGAAGAAGGAACAAAAGCGCATTGAGAAGAAGATGAGGGACGCGCAGCGTGATGCCGAGATCGACAAGAAGATGAAACTCCAATTGGTTATCAAGACAGGCGACTTCTTTAACCGCATGGAGGCTATCTTGGGCCCAGTCCTGGACTTCGTCCGGAAGGTCAAGCCAGCGAAACAACAAGTACACATACCGTCTGACTCCGGGGATGAGAGTTACGAGAGCGGTACTGAGGACATCCGAGCTAGAACCAAGAAGTTGACGATACACGAGAAAAGGAAAAGGGGACCTGAGGTGGTGCTCGAGGATAGTCCACCGATGATCACCCCGGCCAAGCAAACCCCTCGTCGATCTGAGCAGAAGAGGAAAAATACCACCACTCCGGGTCGTGTTACCCGTTCGAAAGCCAAGCTGAAGACGAAGCTCTCACCGTTCGTTGAAAGGCTGAAGAAGACCCCAGGGCGGCCGAGTACTGTCGAGAAGCTACGATATCACAATCAACAGATGGAAGAGTTGCGTACACTCGACGCCCTGGAACTGCAGGGGATCTGCAAGGACGAGTGTGTGGCCTATAGCGGGAAGATTGATGCGATATTTGATATCGCTAGTCACCGTACTTGAGTACATTTCGGCAAATCGAGACGATCGAAGTGTCTAGCACTACGGAACTGGTTGATGAAGAATCAACCACCGTCGAGGGCGACGAGGAAGAGATAGACGCTTGACGGAACAACGGATCAGACGAGATATGGCGGATCGTGGATTTTGTGACAAGATACCGAGGCAGTGTTGAGAATATTGACTGTGACGTTGAGGAACTGTTGAGACTCTGTGTCCTTGTACTGAGCTGCAGAAAGGAGATCAAATGGAACGGTAAGTTAGTGGATTCGTGGCACCTTTTGTGGGACAACCACGGAACTAACTTCCTCGCATTAAATAATGTTGTATATGTCACGATTTCCCCTTATTGTAAACATCAGTACGTGGGAAAAAACACGCGCAATATCGATGTACGTTGGCGTGAGCACTTATACAAGTGTCATGGTGTTAATCGTTCTCACTTCCAGCGTTGGTTGTGTGCTTTTGGATCCGGGAACTACGTACTAATACCCGTCGCTCAGTCGGTTGAGAAGGATCTCTTAACCCGTGAGGATGTCTATATCAAACAATGGTCGCCGTTTTTGAATAGCGTTGGTGTCGTCAAGAGTAGTAAGGGGAGGAAGAAGAACCGTAAGGGGAGGAAGGAAAGAAAGTCGAACTTGGGGAACGAACGTGCGATACGCCCACTGTCCTTCCATTTAGGTGACGACAAGGACCCTGTGTTGAATTTCGCGGAGTCGCTTACTGAGAAATCGGCGATTAGTCAACTACGTTTGACCATTAAGACCAAAGGAGGCAATACATGGGTTGGAGGATGGAAGAAGGTAAGGTAGAGGTTTGGGGATTCGACGATAAGGGAGGGGAAGAGCACGTTTTTGCTTAAATCATGTAAGAAGCGCTTCGAAGATGGGGGTATTTTTGAGATCGTGTATTTGCGGGAGTGGAAGCCGAGGGCTAGAGTCCTAAAAACCATCCTGGTCAGTATTCTGAGAAACCCAAGGAGTATTACGAATTTTTATACCTGGGGACTGAAATCTCTTATGAAACTATATAATGTGATTAAGGATTTCAGTAAGAAATCTACTAGGAAATATCTCAGGTGGTTGATATCTCGAGTGGTCAGTGAAAAGTTTGGATTTATTATGTCTGCTGATCTCGTCATTCGTGTGAAATTTGATGACCGTATTAGATTAGTGGAACTAAGGAAGTTAGTGAACAATGGTATTATGGCGTGTGATTTGCCATACTGCATTCGGAAACGGGCACTGAAGAAGGTGCGGTTCGTCTGGGTGAAGAACCCTTCGATCGGGTATACCCTTCATAATCAACGGGCGTTTGCTCCTCCTGAATTTTCTACCTGCGTTTGTGCAAGGTCATCCCACCCGAAGGAGGATGGGCATGTTTGCTTCCGACTGAGTGATGGCGACACTCGACACCAAAGACTGTCGAATGCTAACGACATTACGTGTCCCGATATTCCGAATCGTAGACCCTTGCTGCAGCAGGAGGTTGTCTCTGGATTTTCGAGTTGGTTCAATCTGAGGGGAACGTTACCAGATTTTAGCGCGTTCGATTTTCAAGCTTGTTTTGACACAGCTAATGACGTTTCGGATAGGATCTCCCTGGAAGAAGTCATCAGTGTGAAAAGGGAGTGCAATGGGCTTGTGCTCACTCCGTTGGATCGAAATGCTGGCGAAACACTTGTAATGTGCCCACTCGTGTACCATAGGGCTATGATGGATTCATTTGTTACGAATGTCGGTTATAGGGTGGTCCAGAAGCATGAGAACGAAGTATTGGCAAGGGTTAGAGCGGAAGTCCAGGAGGAAGGCTTGAGTAAGTTTGCTCGGTGGGATGGGAAGGGAAGCTATGATGTATCCTATGTTCTCCCTAAATATAAAGATACTAGTCGTTTGTTTGCCGATCTGTCCCACCTTCAAGGAACCGATGGTGAAGACTGGTCGGGTCGTGGCGAAGGCTTTGAACGACTTACTGTTTCACCTGCCGGTGGACAACCACTTCAACCTTCAGGCTGTCTCGAACTTCCCTGCGCGTCTGCAACGCATCAACAGGAAGATTGAGAGAGGCAATCTGGGGAGAGTGGAGTCAGCCTCATATGACATCAAGGAGATGTTTAACCGACTCCCCCATGAAGATATTCTTAATGCTGTTGCGTGGATTGTTGACCACTATCGTGAGAAAGATAGATCGTTTGTGCGAGTGAACACTAGGGACAGAGGCGCCTCTTTTGGGAAGACCACGGGGGCGGACCATTGGAGACTCTTGGACTTTGATGATATTATCAAACTTGTGAGATTGGAGCTGAAGCATACCTATACGTATGCTACAGGCGTTCTCCTGAGACAAGTTATCGGCACCCCCATGGGCAAGAGTATAAGCCCGCCTCTAACTTGTATTTTGTGCGCCTATGCGGAATGCAAATTTCTTAACAGCCTTGGTGTGTTTCGAAAGAGGGTTTTCGAGATCAGACTCATTGATGATGTCACACTCGGGACGTTTGCGATGTCTGATCGGCAACGTGATACTATTCTGGATACCTTCGAGAACTGTTACCCGCAGAATTTGGTTTTGAAGAGGACTGACACCGGCACAGGCATTCTGCCTTTCCTCGGATGTGAGATAAGGACCAGAAATGCTCCACCACACCCAGGTTGTGTACAGTTGGTTAAGAATGAGGAGACAGTCTGGGAACAGGAGAAGCTGACGTTTAAAAACGGGCAGTCGTATTCATCATGGGGCAGTAAGCAACATATGGCGTCGATAATTGGGAGCTATCTCCATCGGATCGATCGGAACACCACTATCCGATCTGAGATCCCTATGAGAGTGTTGACTGTGAAGAGGGAGTTGAGGATTAAAGGTTTCCCAACAAGGGCATTCGAACGTGTCCTGAAAACCTTTACTGTGGGCAAAGATTCAATTTGGAAATGGACCGTGAAACTCCTATTCCCATAGTTTAGGACCCTTCACTGGACTACGGTTTGGAACCAGGAAGTTTTTGCATTTTGGTTGGATTTTCATTCACCCGCGTACTTGGTGTTTTCTGTGATTGTTGTATTTGTTGTCGCGTGTACTTTTTGGTGACTGTGACCTTACATTGTTTGATTCGCAGACTGGGATGATCTTTGATATCCCACGGTATCTACAGATATATGGACAGGGTTGGGTCAACTTGATGCTTTGTGTCTACGCTTTGGTTTGAGAACTTTGTCTAGGTTTAGTGAGTGTTCTTTCTGAATTTGCTGATCTTTTCGGCCGAAGGTATTCGAGTTTCGGACAGGGTTGAATTTGTTCGCTGGTTTGTTTGATTTCGTTTTTCATATTGAGCGTGGGTTTCAGACTTTCAGTGATAGCCAAGGATTCGATGTTTCGGACACGGTTGAATTTGATACTCATGTTTAGTTTTTAGTGATAGTCATGGATCCAAATGATCGGACAGGGTAGGATTTGCTCGTTGGTTTTTTTTTTACGTTTTTCATATTGAGCGTGTTTGTCTGTTCGACTGGGCGTAGCATAGGCCTTAATAGGTTTGAGGGGTCCGACTGGACCGGTTATCTCGGTTTTCGGGGTATGAGCTTGACTTAGGACCGTAGTGTTACCGGGATAACCGCATGTTTTTTTTGCCGTGATTTCCACGACCAGGCTTGTTGTGGTCTCGGGGGCAAGGGTGCCTGGTTTTGTGTTTTCAAGCTTTACTACTGCTTTAGGTATTAACTTGGGGTAACGAGTGGAAGGCGATTGCCATACGCTGGGGTTTTGGATAGTCGCATACTGGTGTGATGTTTGGTTTGCGATAAATAGGACGATAGATACGATAGTCGACCTCTGTGACGGGACTGATGCAGCTTGAGCTGCGCGACATCCGAAATGTCGTGTAGTAATAGCTACGGAAGCGGGAAGGTGGCGAACGGTATAGTTTCGGGTGTTGTTTGGATGAAAACCCCCTGAGGAGGCAGCTTGGCAGCTGCCGAAACGTGCGTCGGGGACGCCGTTCTCTCACGACAGTTGCAATTTTTTCTATATTTCGAGTTGAGATGAGGGGACGCCGTTCTCTCACGACTGTTGCAATTTTTTGTATATTTCGGGTTGGGATGACTATTTTCTTTGCCGAATTGTCCCTTACGAGTTTTTCATTAACTACATGTGTTCTTTCCATGTACCTTACCTATCATCATCTGGTTGGTTGATTGGTTGAATTTTTTCTTGGATTGATTTATTGATTTATTGATTTATTGATTTATTGATTTATTGATTTATTGATTGATTGATTGACTGATTGATTGGTTGAATGATTGATTGATTGGTTAATTGATTGATTTTTTGATTGATTGATTGATTGATTGATTGATTGATTGATTGATTGATTGATTGATTGGTCCGACACACACACACACACATACACATACACACGGGTCGAACCCACTTTTTTTTTTTTTTTTAATTGATTGATTGATTGCTTGATTGATGGGGAAGGGGTCATCCTCCCTTCCCCCCCCACACACACGTACACACACACACACACAGACACACACACACACGTTTATTTTTTTTGTACTTTTTTTTTTGGATTGATTGATTGATTTATTGATTTGTTGGTGAGGAAGGGGTCGCCCTTCCCCCCCCCCATGCACACACACACACACACATACACACACACACACACACACACACACACACATATACGCTTCTGAAAGAATTTTCACTAATTGTGCTACGGTCGAATGCTTCTGACCAATTGCTACATACACAAAATACAACTTTTCTTTCTCAGAGGCATCTTTTGCATTGATCTGCTTCGGATTCAATATAGTATCAATAGCTATAGCAGTCTTACCTGTTTGTCTATCTCCAATAATAAGTTCTCGTTGACCACAACCTATTGCACAAATTTACGTACAATAATTCCCAGAGCTTTGACTTCTACACGTCTTCGCTCTACAACGCCGAAAGCATCTTTTCCATCAATAGGTACTCCTAACGCATCAACAACACAACCCAACATAGATCTTCCTACATGAACATCTACAATAGATCAAGTACGTTTGACAATATCTCCTTCCTTAATGGCAGCGTCACTACC